CCCTATTCCCCTCTACCTTTCCCAGCTGTTGGTAACCATTACTCTACTCTCTGCTTCTATGAAGATCTGCTTACTTTTAATCAAAAGTCAGGATAATTGTATAATTACTAAGTGTTATAGAATTATAAGTGAAAATTACTTTACAAATGGCTATTACGGATTTCAAAAGTGCTAATACACTCTCGGAATAATTTCTAATGAAATGAAACTATACACAGACTAAAGGACTCCAAATAACTGAGTGCAATCCCAGTCTCTGGAATACAGTATGTGCTCAGTCAATATTTGCTGGATAGTTTAATGAAAGAATAGATCAATCACTCAGGTCAATGTTCTTGATAATAAGATATTCTAATTATACATTTAATAGTCCTTGTAGAAAACAGAAATACATTTGGGTTTATTTTCATTAACTCACAATATACATTTACCACTAATATGTACAAGACAATTAAACAATTATAAGCAAAATTAATAACATGGTGTTAATTAAATGTTAGGTATGTGAAAGAAATTTCATACAATTATAGAAAGTGATCATTTTATATAGCTTTATTCTTACCTAAACTGTAAATCTTTAAGTTTTTCATAGAGATTAGGTCTGCATGTTGCTTCTAAAACATTTTTTATTTTGGCTGTCTTGAACATTAACTCCTGTATGAAAGTACAACATGAAGCCATTGATATTAGAAATTTCTAAATTTTTCATCCATTTGGGGGATTAAAAAATAAAAAACAAACAAACAATGAGGAAGCAAGTTTGAGGAGACTTCTAGAACATCTGATGCCAGAACCGTTCACTTTTGCTTTTAAACTTGTAGATGAAGGTCAAGAACAATGTATAACCTCATGGTTTTTATCAAAATAAATGTGATAGGCACTTCCGCCATTCTAGGCCCACACAGAATTTCTCTCTTCTAAACCAAACAAAAAAGGAATAATGAAAGGAAAAGGAAGGGGGAAGGAGGAAAGAGAAAAGCAAATAAGAAAAGGAGGCATAGAGGAGAGAGGGAGAGACAAGGGGAGAGGGGAGCGGGGGACAGCACATTTCCATGTGCTCTCTGCGTCTCTCACGCAAAAGGAAAATAAAAACTGATGGTGTGATTTGTGACCAGTTTGCCCTCAGTCTTCTACTTATGAAGATGAACCTATTTCTGACTGCAGGAGCTGGCAATCTATGGCCTCTAGGATAAATACGGCCTGCTGTGCGTTTTTGTATGGCCCAGAAACAGAGAATGATTTTTACCATTTTACATGGTTGAAAAAATCAAAAGCATAATATTTTGTGACACATGAAA